TATATATATATAGCTTAGCCTCGCGCGCTCTCCAGAGTGAGCAGTCGCTAGAGAACCCCAGTGTACAAAAGTCCAGAACTAAGGATCGGTTCGGTAGACTTGACTAGGAGTCTCAGACTCCCAGGTTTAGCCAACATGCGGGTCGCTAACGGGAGAGATAGAGAGAGAGAAGTTATAGAGAGAGTGGCAACTAGTCTAGAGAGAGAGAGGGAGGGGGGGGTGGGGGGAGAGAAGAGGCAACCAGTTTCCGGCTCATGGAAGGTTGGAGCAATAAACAACAATGATCCCACGTCTCCAGTTGTTCACAAATGTACACTTCTTGAATGAAACAAAGCTTTGCACACACACTCGCACATACGTCTGTAACCCAAACCCCTTTCACCCTTCTCATGTTATTCAGAATCAATCTGTGAGATATGAAGGGTTGTCAATACTTATTTTATATTCTATTAAAAATTATCAGTCATTGTTCCACACATCTTTTTTATTCTCACCTGCGAGCAAATAAAGCCGAGTTAACTACTGTAGCATTGGGACTAACAGCTTCCCACTCTTACTAGGGCACTGGGTCACATTATTAGATTGTTTACGGAAGGTGCCATCCTGGTTCGATCGGGGTCCTAGTATGCGTCCTAGGCTTCTAAGTTCCTCTGGCACAGCGCGAAGAGCTGGCCGATTTCCAAGTTGCGGAGCCGCTAGCTATATACTACAACGCATGCAAATACTTCGAGGTGAGCGAATACATATATCCACCGGGATGAGTAGCATCTGAAGACTGAAGGCTGTTTGCTTCTCCTCTCACTCTTCGTCCTTTATGGTCAACTATCACATCACGGCAAGTAAGTAGCTGGTCGTCGGCATAAAGTGCCATTGACAAATGATCCAAAACACATATCGAGGTCCACTAAGAATATGAGCGTCTTCGTGCGCTTCAAAACCAGTATGGGCTTGAGGACACAGAGAATGAATTTGCCAGCTGATAGTTGTTTCTATATATGAAGAGGCAAATAGCCCGAATCTACAGTAGTTCCAGTACCCACCGGAACCTTGTTGCTATCCTTCACGAGCAAGACAATCAAATGGTAAATTTTTGTTATATCCTGGTGGGTGACCTACTTGGCCCGCGCACATGCGCATGCGGACTGACGAGTTTGTAGCGAGCGTTCTCAATCTTTGTTTCTTCGTCTACATATGAATACAGTATTATTCTTTCACACCAGTCGAGGGCGCTCGTCAAGCCTCGTGTAATATATATAAGAACGGGCGCCAGGCCACATAGATACCTTACTTGTTCTGTCTAACATTCTTCACCCACTATTGAAACCTCTGTCATACATATCTTTTCATTTGCATGTGGTTGCTTTGATTATGACAGGAGGTTCAAGCCTTTTTCTCAGACTGAAAGTCTACTTAGCTCCCAAAGAACGTGGCAACCCATCCAGCTGTGTAAACACGTGAAAAGGTTGGTCTGAAACGTGCGTGTGGCTGCCACATCGAAGAATTCTGTTCAGACTGGGAGAGATTGATTCACAGCTTATACACCCAGAGCTGTGGAACATTCTCCTGACCATTGCAATGCCTCTCTCCAACATGACTGGAAGGCTGATGCTGATTGAGAGCGCTCTAAACTTGAATTTTCGAAAGTGTGGCCACAACGACATAGTTCGGTGGCTATTTTTTTTAACCTAATCCTGGCTAAATATATAGGAAGAAGCTGTAGAAGCCAACACCTGATACGCTTTTAACATACTCGGCCGCTAGCCTTTGATCGTGTTATGCTCTGAACGTGATGGGGATACCAGGTCGTGCGAGTGCGCTATGTGATTAACCAGCAACACGCGTATTGCTATCAAAGTAAGGTGCAGTACCTCGAATGTTTATTAGTGTTTTATGTGGAACTCTGTCAACCTTCTGCCCCTGCGGAAGGCTCTGTCATACTATCGAATGTAAACGGGAATACCAGGCTTCGTGGGTACATCAGATATTTTGCCATTAAAGTACGTGTAGCAACTACGATGAAATTCTGTATCTTCTCGACGTTTCGCAGCACGGATTGGTTTTCGTCGCCGAGATTAGCGTCAAAGCTAACATCTACCAGGGGACTAGGGGTGGAGCAGTTCGTTAAAATGAGTTGAGATACATCTGAATCTTATCATCCAAACAGAGTGGCCTACGAGACTCACTGAAAGATTTGTACATGGACAAATATAATTATCAGCTGTACAGGTTCAACGTAAGCACATTCGTATGTAGTAGCGGTTACGCCAAAGATTTTCAGCCATATTTCGCTCGAAATTTTAAAACGCGGAAATGGCTATAGATACTTCGACATACCTGCTGTGCTTAATGGAATGCAGCAGCGAGATGCGGATGTCCTTGTTTTCACGCACATATGCGATAATCTCAGCTGCAGTATACAAAAATTGCACATATGTTCAAGGATTAGAGATGTGCAGTAATCATTGTTCATAAAGCAACTGACACGGCAAGTCAGATTCACCAACACATTGAACTTGAATTAGCTCCCGACGAAATGATCGCCCTGCAAATTCAGTGCATGAACAACGGGCCACACAAGCACCGTCGATGTGTAGTGCACGGGTGGTTAGTTCGAATGGCAGAGACACAAAAACATTCAGTGCAAGAACAAAGGGCCACACAAGTACCGTCAATGTGTAGTGCGCGGGTGGTTAGTTCGAATGGCAGAGACACGAAGGCTGGAGACGGAGTGTTCACCTGGACATCAGCCGACACTCGCAGCACAGCACTGCCCTGGTAGGCTACACGCACACGTACCTGCAAATAGTGTGAAAGCAATTCCAATGTTCAAGGCGTATCGATTTTGATAAGCTCTACATGTACGTGGCTCTGGTAGCAGTGTGACGGTAGTATACATGGCTCGAGGACTTTGGTTTTCTGGAAGGCTGCACACACATGTGATAGAAATCGGAAGCGGTATAAATGCCTAATGGGTGTCGAGACTCTCAATTTCAACATGCACACGTATATATATATATTGGAAGAGTACTTAGTATACATGAGAAAGGTACTGATACTCTGATTTGCTGTACTTACATGTCTATGCAAAGTGTAAGGGGTATATAGCCACGACTGCTGGGTTCTCTACGTGCCAAACACCACGTTTACTGGCGGTAATGCACCAATCATTTTACCAATACATGTAGCGATGTTCCCGTGAAGTGCTCGTAGTCTGACACACAGAGTTTCATTATTATCTGCCTATACATCACTACCATGTAGACACACTATCTATTCTGACAGGCAGACATGCAACTCCAATCTAAGTTGTCAGTTAGTAGCTTCACCTACTCACGGGACACGCCCTTCAGATGAGTGTCCACACATGACTTGTCAGTATATACCAGGCACTTTCATAAAAATCGCATACAGTTGCTCGATGTCTATGAGGCTATTATCTTGGCCATGAAAATGTCTAATCAACTTTTTCGCCGCCATGCCCATATACAACAAGCTACGTGTATTAAATAAGACAAAGACAAACTATGTGCACTCACAGATATTCACTCGCACACCAGCTTATAAACTCACCTGTATATAATCCACCTTGATTTCAAGGCACACACAAATAAATGTTCAATCAATTATTGTGCTGACAATCCGAATGACCCTTTTGGATACACTATTTATTTTTAAATCTGTAGTCGGGATTTTAACCGGCACATAGCTTGGGTCGCTTGAAATGATAATTTATATCGTCACTCAACCAATTTGTACAACAGCACTTGATCTGAATATATACACATAAATCAATTCACATTTAAGCCAACAACCCCGCCTGCACACAGTCCAGATCTCTATCAACGGTAATAGCTTGTATATCCATTCAATTGACTATGCACACTAATTTATATATACAAGTATAAACAAGCATAACAATTACTTCAAGTTCAAATTCTCATCTGCACACATTCCGTGTTGCTTGCACCAGTAGAACTGTACCTATTCACCACAATTTTACACAATTACAAATTTAGACAAGTATACACGAACATATCGACTCGATTTGAAGCCAACCTCGCCACCCCCACACAATTTTTGTCGCTTGCAACAGTAGCACATATCTATTCACTATATATACACAAACATATCTATTCACCAAATATACACAAAT